CTTGGGGTTGGAGCTAGCCCAGGCACCTGCAGCAGAGAAAGAGCACCCTTTGAAGAGGGCCTGCCTGGTGCTTCCACACTGCCCTCTGCTGGCCAGTGCTGGAACGCTGCCTGCTTCTGCTGGTCTAGCTCAGCCAGGGGCAAACTGGCTCCTGAGCTCTTGGCGGCTCTTTTGGTATGTCCACTTGGCTCTGTAATAAAGCTGGAAGTGAAAATAAAGCTGTTATAGTTTCAGTTATAAAAATTTAAAGGCTATTATTCAGATAAGGGTGATTTCATTTGTTGGTAAAACTATATTTTTGGCACTTGATTAAATTTTACATTGTTGTGAGGGACAAGATCGGTTCTTTCATTGCAAAAGTTTGCTGACCCCGGTCTAGGAAATGCTCACAGAATGTCATGTGGAGTGAGTTGAACTGGACGGCAGTGGGTTGGTTGTCTTTTGGCTGGAGGCAGGGGGCTGCTCGAAGCAATAGGTTGAGGTAGAGACCCTGGGATCTGCCAGGGACCCTCCATCGGGGAGGGCCGGGTCGAGGAAGGGGGTTTGAACAGCAGTACGACCCCGTGAGCCTGGTGTTTTCAAGAGGAAAGAACTGGGTCTTTAGTGGAAGAGAGAGCGAGGGGCCAGTGCATTCAGAAGTCAGATAGGAGTGAGGCTTCCGGGACTGCATTCTACAGTCAGGTTTGCAAGATCGGGGAGCCCCCAAGCACTGGGGAGGACAACCCAAGGTGACCATGACTCATTGTTGGGTGTGGAGGTGTTCAAAGTCCATCATAGCACTCATTGCCCTTGAGTTGTTCTGATCCATAGTGACCCCGTGGGTTTCTAAGTCTGTAACTCTTTATAGGAGTAGAAAGCCTCATATTTTTCCCAAGGAGGAGCTGGTGGTTTTGAACAGTTGACCTATTTGTTAGCAGCCCAACGTGTAACCCACATGCAGATGAGTAATTTTTGTTACAGTGTGACAGAGGGGCAGTTACCTGACTGGATTTCAGGCAAGGCCTGAGTTTAAACTGCCCTGAGGTGTAAGTAGGGGTTCACCTGGAGATCGTGGGGGCAGGAAGGAACGGGCTGGGTGTTGTGCTGAGGCGGAGCCTGAGTAGCTCGCAGGGCCCAGGCTCCGAGGGGTCAGGTACACTCAGTTGGGGAGCCAGGACATTCTCCTGTGAGGATGGAATGCTGTTAAAGGGCTAGAAAAACGATGTGTTTTGGGGGAAATTTCTACACAGGAAATTAGGTTCAAATTCAATAATTCAAACACCCAACTGTCCTGTGACATTGGCGACAGCCTTTGCAATGTGTGAGCATTCTCCCCACCCCCACCCCACCCTGGATCATAGCTTTCTAACTGCAGCTGAAGTCAAGTTTAATAAAAATCTCTAACATAGCAACAATGATCTTTCTGTTGCTACTAACAAGAATATAGTAACTAATATTTATTGAATACATTTTCTGTTGTTCATTTTACATGGCTCACTCACTGACTACCATCATGTCCACGCTGACTCATAGCAACCCTGTGGGCTTCCAAGACTAACTGTTTACGGGGTAGAAAGGCCCAGTTTTTTCCTGCAGAGCTGCTACTGGTTTTGAACTGCCAACCATGTAGATCGCAGCCCAATGAGTAACCTCTACACCACTGGGACTCCACTTTATGAGGCCTCTCCCAAATTCTCACAACCCCTGTGTGAAGTCTGGGCGCAACTACTGCCTCCGTCTTATTTATGTATGAGGAACGGAGGCTCCGATGCTAACAGCCTGCTGAAGACCTGCGGCTAGTTAACAGAGGGGGTGAGGATGTGAACCCTGGAATTCTGGGCC